CTTGGGAGGCTGAGGCTGGAGAATCGCTTAAACCCAGGAGGTGGAGGTTGCAGTGAGCCCAGATCATGCCACTGCACTCCAGCCTGGGCAACAGAGCAAGACTCCATCTAAAAAAAAAAAAAAAAAATTCTGTCTTAGAGTTAGGCATAGACAATGCCTTAAATTTTTTTTCCCTTTTTTTTTTTTTTTTTTTTTTTGAGACAGGGTCTCATTCTGTTGCCTATGCTGGAATGCAGTGGCATTATCTCAGCTCACTGCAGCCTCTGCCTCCTGGGCTCAAGCAATCCTCCTGCCTCAGCCCCTCAAGTAGCAGGGACTACTGGTACCAGCCACCATGGCCGGCTAATTTTTGAATTTTTTGTAGAGTCGAGGTTTCACCATGTTGCCCAGGCTAGTTTCGAACTCCTGCACTCAAGTGATCCATCCACTTTGGCCTGCCAAAATGCTGGGATTACAGGTGTGATCCACTGCACCCAGCCAGACAATGGCTTAAATTTTGAGGCAGTGAATTTTTTTCTGACACTGCACTCTGATTCTAGGAATAAATTCTTTTGAAGTAAACATTGGTCAGGCATGGTGGCTCATGTCTGTAATCCCAGCACTTTGGGAGGTCAAGGCAGGAGGACTGCTTGAGGCCAGAAGTTTGATACCAGCCTGGGCAACATAATGAGACCTGTCCTAAAAAACATGAAAAAATTAGCCAGGCATGGTGGCACATGCCTGTAGTCCCATTACTCGGGAGGCTGAGGTGGGAGGATCCCTTGAGCATGGGAGGTCAAGGTTGCAGTGAGCCATGATTGCGTCACTGCACTCCAGCCTAGGTGACAGAACAAGACCCAGCCAAAAAAAAAAAAAAAAGACAAACAGGCACAATAATAAATGTTCAAAGTCGTGGGTTATAGTATAGTTTGTCATAAAGCTTGTTGCAAAATTGGAAAAAACCTAAGTATTCATTAACAGAGGAAGGCTGAATAAATTGGTTTTAATCCTGCTATAGAATACTATGCAGATTTTTTTTTTAGACAAAGTCTCTCTCTGTTGCCCAGGCTGGTATGCAGTGGCGTGATCACAACTTTACTGCAGCCTCAACCTTCTGGGCTCCAGCGATCCTCCTACCTCAGCCTCCTGAGTAGCAAATTTCGCTTTTTTTTTTCTTTTTAGCTGCAATAGAGAAAGACAAATTTCACTTTTTTAAACCGCACTTTTCTATATCTGACTTTTCTCCACAGCATTACTTTTTTTAAAAAAATTGAGTCTTACTCTGTCACCCAGGCAGGAGTACAGTGGCACGATCTGGACTCCCTGCAACCTCCGCCTCCTGGGTTCAAACGATTCTCCTGCCTCAGCCTCCCGAGTAGCTGGGATTACAGGCACGTGCCACCACACCCAGCTAATTTTTGTATTTTTAGTAGAGACGGGGTTTTGACATGTTGGCCAGGCTGGCACAGTATTACTTTTGTAATTAAAAATAAGAATAAATTCTGGGACATCCAGCTATTTTTGGCAATGGCCCCAGTACTCTTCCTGTGGGAAACAGATCCCCAGAGGGGCCCAGCCCTTTAATCCTAGAGTGAGAGGCTCCTGGAACCAGGAGATAGCAGCACAGGGCTGGCTGCAGGGTTTTAAGAGGTAGGGGCGTTAGGTCAGCTGAGAGTGGTCAGAGGGGTGGGTGGTAAGGAAGAATACGGGTATTGTTAGGGCCAGGCTAGGCTTGACTAAGGGGAAGGCCATGAAGCTAGTTTCTTGTTTGTTTGTTTTTTGAGACAGAGTCTTCCTCTGGCTCTGTCGCCCGGGCTGGAACACAGTCTCGGCTCACTGCAACCTCCGCCTCCCAGGCTCAAACAATTCTTGTGCCTCAGTCTCCCCAGTATCTGGGATTACAGGTGCCTGCCACCATTCCTGGCTAATTTTTGTATTTTTAGTAGAGACTGGGTTTCACCATGTTGGCCAGGCTGGTCTCAAACTCCTGACCTCAAGTGATCTGCCTGCCTTGGCCTCTCAAAGTGCTGGGATTACAGGGATGAGCCACTGGTTCCCGATGGAAGCTAGTTTCTTGAGCCTTCCTGCCACTCCCATCAGTGCCCTCTCCCTCTTCTCTACCACCTCCCTTCCCTAGTCCCAGACCTACTCTCCAGGCACAGCCTGTGTCTCCCTCCTGCTGCATCTCCCACTCCCTGGGAGTAACTCCTGGCTGACTGTGCCTGGGAAGTGCTATGCTATTTGGGGGTAGGTGGAACCTTCTTGGCAAAGCTGAGCACCTTGGTTGGGCTATGGGAGCCCATATGATTGGGCTGGGGAGCTGTGGGGTGATACCACAGACAATATGAGGGCTACTGGGATCCATGCTGGATGTTTAATGCAACCAAGAATAAGGCTGGGGTTAGGGTCCATGACTCCCTGTGGGTTACCAGACCTACCAAAGCCTTTCTCGATTGGGCCCCAACCAACTCTTCTACGGGGCTGAGTTACCCAGAAGGCACAGTAGCTGCAGTGCTCAGGGCCTACAGAAATGTCTTAGCTTATTTTAAAACCAGAAGATATAAAGTAAATATAATCAGCCTGGATTACATTCATCTTTATACCAACATAGTTATAAAATTATTTTTTTTCTTTTTTTGAGACCGAGTCTTGCCCTGTTGCCCAGGCTGGAGTGCAATGGTGCAATCTCGGCTCACTGCAACCTCTGCCTCCCGGGTTCAAGCGATTCTCCTGCCTCAGCCTCCCGAGTAGCTGGGACTACAGGTTTCCATCACCATCCCGGCTAATTTTTGTATTTTTAGTAGAGACAGGGTTTCACCATGTTGGCCAGGCTGGTCTCAAACTCCTGACCTCATGATCTGCCTGCCTCAGCCTCCCAAAGTGCTGGGATTACAGGCATGAGCCACCACACTCAACCCAAAATTAATTTTTTTTTTTTCTAATGGATCAAGAGCTGTGAAGGCCAAAGGGCTTAGGGGTCCTGAAATTCATGATGTAGCCCTGATCTTCCAGCTTCTGCACTCATTGCTCCTTCACTCAGACCCACTGTGGCTACATGTCCTCTGTGGCTTTGCTCCTGCCGGGCTGCTGCCTGTGTGACATCTCTGCTTATTGAGCCCTTCCCATCTGAAGACTCATCCTCCGAGGTCTTAGGTCAAACACTCCCATCTTTATGAGGCCTTACCTGCTTCCCTCAGTGGAAGGAATTGCTCCTTCTAACTCATCCAGCACCTCTTGGAGCATCTCTAGGCTTGCCGTGATTTTCCTACGTTTAGCGTGTGAGTTCCACAGGGAGAGGACCTAGTCTCATGCCTCACTCATGTCTCACGTCTCCACATGCTTGACACAATACACAGGCTAGATTTAGGGCCAGAGAATGTTTGGGGACACAAGACAGTGGCTGTAATCGAACATTTCAGATGTGTGTGGTTCTTCATAGCCCAAATCAACTGATTCAGCTAAGGGACAACGCAGGCAAGAGGAACCCAACACGTTTCCTTTAGCAATGCCAGAAAACCTTTATTTCCTCCGAGACCGCTCGTCCAATTCTCTTCTCTTTCCAGGAACTTTTTCCCTTCCCTACTCCAGGGCGTACCCTGGCCACTCTCTCCTTTCCTTTTGGCTGGCCTACCCCAGAATGTCTCTTGTATAGGGTCCAGAAGGCTCTCAGGGACCTGGGAGGGCTCCTGCAGGATTGAGTTGTGTGGGAACAAGAGGCAGCTGTGGTCCCATAGCACCCTCATGTGGTGACAGCCTGCTATTGAAAGTCAAAAGAAGCCTTCCCGGATGGAATTTTCGTCCTCTGCGCAGACTCTTCTTGCAGCAAAAGAGCCATATGCAGTGGGGTCTGCTCCCCATCGGGGCTTCACGTGGGCCCAGCAGTGGATCAGCCTTCCAGGCACGCTGAGCTCTGCACACTTCTCCTGCCGCCTCAGGCTTTCCAAGACCCTCCTGAGCCTTATCGGAGTCCTTACCCTCAGGGCCGCTGACGGCTTGCTGGGTGACCTTGGACAGATTCACTTATCTGGACTTAGTTTCAGAATATGAAAGTGATAGGGTTGGGCTACACGATTTTCACATTGTGCTTCCAGACCTTTAGAAGTTAGGGGTGGGAGGCATTGCCTGTCCCTCTCCCAATTTCACTCACACTACTTTGCTTTTTATCTACCTTTTACATAGGGCTTTGAAAAAAGGGATCTGGGATAAACTTGAGAATCACTGGCTCCAGGAGCTTTCTTTTAACACTAACATCCCAGGAGTCCTAAGTGTGCTCTCTCCACAATGGATACCTGGCTCTGTTTTTCTTTTTTCTTTTTTTTTGGAGACAGAATTTCACTCTTGTTGCCCAGGCTGGAGTGCAGTGGTGCTATGTTGGCTCACTGCAACTTCTGCCTCTTGGGTTCAAGCAATTCTCCTGCCTCAGCCTCCTGAGTAGCTGGGATTACAGGCATGCGCCACCACACCAGGCTTATTTTTGTATTTTTAGTAGAGATGGGGTTTCACCATGCTGGCCAGGCTGGTCTTGAACTCCCAACCTCAGATGATCTGCCTACCTCAGCCTCCCAAAGGGCTGGGATTACAGGTGTGAGCCACCGCATCCACCCCTGGCTCTGTTTTTCTAGGCTCTATGGAGGCGACCCAGCTAGAAATGATCAGAATGGAGGAAGAGGGAATGAAAAGGCTGGTGGCAAGTGGTCTAGTGTTCTTGTGGTACAGTGGAAGGAGCCCTGGCTCAGCGCTGAAGAGCGAGCCTCAGTCTTGGCTCCAGCCATCTGCTAGCTATGAGACTACAGACAAGCCCCTTTACCTCTCTGTGTCTCAGTTTTCTTATCTGTAAAATGGGCACACTGGTTTCTGTCCTGTCTTTCTCACAGATTATTGTACAGATAAAGTAAGATAAAGGACACCTGTCAGAGAGCTATCTGTAAACAGTTCTACAAACTTCAGGTAATATTAGCAAGGGAGGCTCGCTTAGACTTCTAATCCATCTGTTAGAATATACTTTTTTTTTTTTTTTTTTTTGAGATGGAGTTTTGCTCCTGTTACCCAGACTGGAGTGCAATGGCATGGTCTCGGCTCACTGCAACCTCTGCCTCCTGAGTTCAAGCGATTCTTCTGCCTCAGCCTCCCAAGTAGCTGGGACTACAGGCACCTGCCACCACACCCAGCTACTTCTTGTATTTTTAGTAGACACAGAGTTGCACCATGTAGTCCAGGCTGGTCTCAAACTCCTGACCTCAGGTGATCCGCCCACCTGGGCCTCCCAAAGAATTAGGATTACAGGTATGAGCCACTGTGCCCGGCCAGAATATGGACTCTTCACTGGACTCTGCAGGTACTTTGGATGATCAAGGAATCAGGACATGGCTGTAGAAGTACTTTTCCTTTCCTTTTTTTTCTTTTCTTCTTCTTTTTTTTTTTTTTTGAGACAGAGTCTCACCTGTTGCACAGGCTGGAGTGCAGTGACATGATCAAGGCTCACTGCAGCTTCAACCTCCCGGGCTCAAGCAATCCTCCCACCTCAGCCTCCCGAGTAGCAGAGACTACAGGCATAAGCCACTACGCCCAGCTATTTTTTTTAGGGGTGGGTAGCGATGGGGTCCTCACTATGTTGTACAAGCTGGTCTCAAACTCCTGGGCTCAAGCTGTTCTCCCACCTTGTCTTCACAAAGTGCTAGGATTTCCAGTGTGAGCCACTGTGCCCAGCCTGCAGTATGTTTCTTGAGCTCAGCATTGCTGCCCTGGACCCTCCAGTTGCCTTTCCTGCTTCGGAAGCCTCCGTTTCTAGGACAGAAGGAAAACCCCAGGCTAAATATATGTCCTAATGGTCTCTTCTGTCACTGTGAAGGAAAGAAAATGGGCCCAGTGTTGTTGCAAGGAGTAGGAAGGTCCTGCCTCGCCACCCAGTGGGCTTAGAAGTCCATCTTTAAGGCCTCCAGAGAAGCTGGTGATCAGGTTCCCAGACATCAGCAATCCTGTTTCCTGAGGGGCTTGTGGGGGCTCTCTCTGGGGATGATCTGGGTCCTAGACAAAGAGCCACAACTGATGGGGGTCCCTGGGATTGCAGGGGGCCATGGCTGGCTTTTTGTCCTGGGATGTCAGGCAGGTACCAGATCCTGAGTTCCTGATGAGCTGATCCTAAAAGATGACAGAGCAAAGGGTCAATCTGGGCCACAGACTCTAACAATGCTACCGGGGACAATGCAAGGGGGTACAATTGATGAAACGCCAAGGGAACCCCACAAAGCAAAAAGAGGACACTTCCCTATTTCTTTCCTGCCATCTCATGAGATGAATTCCTGAATTCCCACCTCTATCTGGTGCCAAATCCCCATCCCCAGCTTCAAGCTCAGTGGAGGAAATGGTGAAAGACAAGACCGTGGGCTGAGAAAGAAATGCCTTCAGGGCTTCCCCCTCCACAGATGGCCAGGCTCAAAGACCCAGGGCCACTGCTCCACCTCCAGCGTTCTGCCTTGGGTTATGTTTAGACTGCTCCCTCCCCTGCAGCCTCAAGGCTAGGGTTCTCTTTCTTCTTTTTTTTTTTGAGACAGAGTCTCGCTCTGTCACCAGGCTGGAGTGCAGTGGTGCTCTTGGCTCACTGCAACCCCCACCTCCCGGGTTCAAGTGATTCTCCTGCCTCAGCCTCCCAAGTAACTGGGATTACAAGCACATGCCACCATGCGCAGCTAATTGTTGTATTTTTAGTAGAGATGGGGTTTCACCATGTTGGCCAGGATGGTCTCGGTCTCTTGACCTTGTGATCCACCCGCCTCGGCCTCCCAAAGTGCTGGGATTACAGGCGTGAGCCACCGCGCCCAGCCAGGTTCCTCTTTCCTACACTGGGGTGGAGTAGGGAGGCTCACTAGGGTCGAGCTCAGCATGGTGGCAATTGCATGTGGTGTAACAGAAAGAGCCCGTGCTTTCAAGTCAGATCCATCTGGGGCTGAATCCCAGGCCTGCCATTTATTAGTGATGGATCTTGGCTCAGTCACAGACATGCTAGGCTTCCTCCGGCTCCGACTCATCTGCAGAAATGGGGACACTTCCTGCTTGGAAAGAGCCTCTGAAAGATCAACCAGACCCAAGTATGTGAGTGCCTAGCTTTGAGTCCGGGACACAGAGGACAAACAGGAACCATGAATGACTCTTCACCTTCATTTAATTGGGTTCAGCCTAAAAATGCTTGAGCCATGGCAGAGCTAGCCACAAACCATAACCTCTGACCCCATCTTTCCATCGGTCATCACCAAATACCCTTTAATACCCTTTCAGTCCCAAGAACCCTGCCTGTGGCCATGCCCATACTCACTTACCTTATACATTGCTCTACTCTACCCCATGGCATCTCAGGAAGAAAATGAAGAAAATACAGAGGGGCCAATATGGCCTCAAGTTCATTTTTTCTTTCCCTTCTTTTTTTTTTCACCCGTCTTGCTGTCACCGAAGCTGGAGTGCAGTGGTAGGATTGGCTCACTGCAACCTACGCCTCCCAGGTTCAGGCAATTCTCCTGCCTCAGAGTAGCTGGGATTACAGGTGCACAACCCCATGCCCAACTAATTTTGGTATTATTAATAAGACAGGGTTTCACCACGTTGGCCAGGCTGGTCTCAAACTCCTGACCTCGTGATCCGCCCACCTCGGCCTCCCAAAGTGCTGGGATTACAGGCGTGAGCCACCATACCCGGCCTCAAGTTCTTGATTCTGAGCTTTATGGACACCGACTCACCTGGGTCAATTCCCATTCCTCGTCCTTGGGGACCTGGCTATTCTTGCCAGTGAAATGACAGTTCCACAGGCCCAGAGCACCCTTGCTGGCATGTAGACACAGCTGCTTTGCGATGTTGTGACGAAGGTCCCTCTGAGTTGTGTACTCAAAGTACTGGAAATCAAGACAAGAGAAGCAAGTGGAGAGTTTGGCCCCAACCTTGCAAAGCCACCTGCCCTGAGCTGTCAACCATGCATGGTCTCCTGGGGAGGAGAGTGAATGTGAGACCATGCCAAGACTTGACTCATTTATGTGCTGCCTTCAGGATTGTTACCATATCAGGGCTATATTAGAAAAATAGCTACCATATATATATGTGTGTATATGTATATCTTTTTTATGAGACGGGGTCTTGCTATGTTGCCCAGGCTGGTCTCAAACTCCTGCACTCAAGTGATCTTCCCACCTTGGCCTCCCAAAGTGCTGGGATTACAGGTGTGAGCCACTGCACCTGACCAATATGTTTTCTTTCTTTTTCTTTTTCTTTTTTTGAGACAGGGTCTTGCTCTGTTGCTTAGGCTAGAGTGCAGCGGCATGATCACAGCTCACTGCAACCTCGAATTCCTTTGTTCAGGCGATCCTCCCACATCAGCTTCCTGAGTAGCTGAGACTGCAGGCGTGTGGCACCACACCCAGCTAATCTAAAAAAATTTTTTTTATAGAGATGGGGTGTCTTGTGTTGCCCAGGCAGGTCTCAAACTCCTAGGCTCAAGTGATCCACCCTCCTCGACCTCCCAAAGTGCTGGGATTACAAGTGTGAGCCACCGTGCCTGATCACATTTCCTTTAAATTAGATTAAAATTAAATTTAACTTAGACTCATTTTAAGTAACATCTGTGAGATCATGTGATATGCTTGTTGTATTTTTGCTATGAAATTACTATTAAAATAAAAAATGTTCTCCAACGCACCACCAGAAATCACTTTGCAGGTCAGTGGTACAGGAAACTGCTCTAGGATGACTGTCTTCACCTGCATACGCCAGCGGGCTTGTTCAGCATCCCACACCACTCCTTTCCCTGCTCCGGCTCTGTTTTTAGTGCCTCTCACTTACTAGGTGCTGGTGGCATTCAGGGTAGATTGAGGGGTAGGGGATGAGGAGGTTGCTAGTTATGCCTCAGGGAGGTGCTGGGGCATGGGGTAAGTTTCCAGGGTGCCAGGTAACTGAGATGTCACTAGGTGGTTGTTTTGGGGGCACTGTGATGTGGTAGGATCAGAGTGGTAGCTTCTGGGCAGAGGATGCATTGAAGATAGAAGTTGAGCATAGGTGATGGGATGTGCTCGAACATTTTCGATCCTCACTCCTAAATGTACCCCAGCGCTGGCCTCCTCCAGCAAGCCTCCTCTGATGAGCAACCCTCCCTCCCATCCCCTTCTCACACCCAGCACCGATGCCTCATTCTCTCTGGATGTCCCTTCTTCAGATCTTGTGTGTGTTATGCCTTCTCCTCTGACTGGAAGCTTCCTGAGGGCAGGGATGGTATCTCTTTCCCACAAGTCCTCAGGAAAGGACTCTTTAGGGTAGAGAAAGGGAGCCAGTGAGGAGAGGAGATGCTCTGGAGATGGGTGGGCTGCATACCTGGTTGCCACCAAGGCCGTGGCAGGAGTACATGATAAGAGGCTTCCCCCCACGGTTGTTCTCACCCACATCTAGGCACTGGTTGGTACCGAGGTTCTTGATCTGCAGAGGGATGAGCAGAGAGGGGAAGCAGGATGACACAGTCAGGGGGTTCCTCATATGTGGTATGGGGCCCCACTGGAACACCAGTCAACTGTAACAAATCTGCATGGCTGGATTTCCCCTCTGTCATTTAGCTCCTCTGCATTAATCCACATGCCTAGAGATAACAGCAAAGTGAGCTGCAGAGCCCGAGGCTGGAAAGGGCAGGACTGGACACCTCTGTGGGGCGAGCGGGGAATCTCCCAGGATGCCAGCTTCCTGGAGGAAGCCCTCAGCAGGCGGGAGTTCCCCTATAAGCAGTGGTTCTCAAAGTGTGGGACCACCAGGCTCACCTGGAGACTTGTGAGAAATGCAGGTTTTCAGATCCCCCCCCCCAAGTCCTGAATCAGGATCTCTGGGGATGGGCCCTAGGGTTTTACCGCACCTCCCTGGTGATTCTAACGCATGCTAATGTTTCACAACCACTGCTTGTGGGTGGTTCCCCCTTTTTTTTTTTTTTTGCTATCTCTAGAAGCCCCAACATGGCCTCTCAGTCCTCCTCCTGGATAAAGGAGGGTGCAGGGTAAAAGTCAATTCTTGTTTGTCATCCGTTCATGGGGTCAGTGGTCGCGAACTTCTCCGAGGGGTGCTATGGTGATGGGCAGACAGGTTGGTTCTTAGGACTTACGGCGCCATAGAAGGTGGGCGTCAGGTCAGGAACAAACATCTCTGGGTAGACATTGTGCAGGTACCAGGAAAAGTTGTGACAGTGCAGTTGTTCCCTCAGCTTCAGTCGTTCCGAAATGTCACCGAAGGATTTCTGTCAACCAAGCCAGCCCCCCAAGGATCAGTTCCACTAGTCTTTTTGTATTTTTTTTTTTTGAGACAGAGTCTCACCTTGTCACCCAGGCTGGAGTGCAGTGGCATGATCTCGGCTCACTGCAACCTTCTCCTCCTGGGTTCAAGTGATTCTCCTGCCTTAGCCTCCCTAGTAGCTGGGATTACAGGCGCCCACCGCCACACTTGGCTAATTTTTATATTTTTAGTGGAGACAGGGTTTCACCATGTTGGTCAGGCTGATCTCGCACTCCTGACCCCAGGTGACTCACCTGTCTTTGCCTCCCAAAGTGCTGGGATTACAGGCTCAAGTCACCGCACCCGGCCAGTTCCACCAGTCTTTGATTTTCCTGTCTGGGCTGAAGTAGCGCAGACAGCATGGAGCACCTGGGGCTACTGACTCTCAAGCTCATTCCCCCTCAGGACCTATAGAAGCTACTGGCCCAGCCTCACATCCAATCCCAACCCCCCACCTTAGCTTTGGGGTCCCCTGCTTATCAGTCCATCTCCTGTGATTCTGCAGACAATTATGTCCCATTCCCCAGTGCCCACGCTCTCAGAGCCATTTCTCCTGTAAGAGGAACGGCTCCCTCAAATCTCTTTTCCTTCCCTTCCCCTAAAGGATGCAGAGACTCTATGTGTAGGGATAACATTCTCTGGCTTTTGTTTTGTTTTGTTTTGTTCTGAGGCGGAGTTTCGCTTTTGTTACCCAGGCCAGGCTGGAGTGCAATGGTGCGATCTCGGCTCACCGCAACCTCCGTCTCCTGGGTTCAGGCAATTCTCCTGCCTCAGCCTCCTGAGTAGCTGGGATTACAGGCACGCGCCACCATGCCCAGCTAATTTTTTTTGTATTTTTAGTAGAGACGGGGTTTCACCATGTTGACCAGGATGGTCTCGATCTCTTGACCTCATGATCCACCTGCCTCGGCCTCCCAAAGTGCTGGGATTACAGGCTTGAGCCACCGCGCCCGGCCCATTCTCTGGCTTTTGAAACCTTTGTGCCCTGTGGCCTTCTCCTGGGCTCTAGCTCACAGGGTCCTGAGGATGAAGGGAGGTGCTAGAGGTAGAGATGGGGTGGGCCCCAGCCATTAAGCCCATGAACAGGGTTTGGGCCTAATGACCCAGACCTCTGAGATGACCTCAGAGAGGTCATCTAAACCTGTCCAAGAACCATTTCCTCTCACCTCTTGGGCCATCTTTGCTGCCTGCAGATTTCTCCTATAGAAAATCTTCTTGTAGCTGTCCATCCAGACCTCTGCCAGGCGCACTTGATTTCGAGCAATGACATTGGTGCCCTTGGGGAAGGTGTGGGGGCTCTTGGTCCGGAACACATGGCCTACGACAGAGCAGGGGATGATCTCCAGCTGGCCCCCACACTGCCACACCTGATGAAAGGAGACAGGATGAGGTCTTCAGTGGGCTGGGTGGGACAGTCTCCCTCCAAGCAGCTCGATTCTATTTCCAGGACACTGGACCCCAGGTCCAAGGACTTGCTCTCTCTCCCTGGAAAAAAGGACACTGACCAGGCTTCTTCCGAGGCCATGACTACACAACCCCAGGCTTCCTGATGATTCACTCTGACTTAAGCAAAGGGAGACTGCTGGGTCCTATGTTTATCAGAGCCCACTTTAGGGAAAAGCCTGCTGGTTCATTTTTGTTACTTGTGCCTGTACACCTACTCTGAGCTCTGATCACCTCTTCCTCTTCTAGGACCAGGTCAAGGAAATATGTAATTATCCTCTAAAAGGTACTCATTCATTCATTCAACCAAGGATGCACGAAACCCTGGCCACTGCGTCCTGTGCTACATGGTAGACACACAGAATAGAGAAAGACCCCACTCCCCCAGAGCTCAGTCTAGTTGCCGAGGTTAAAGGTACCATTAGTTACTTTTTGGCAGCAAAGTGCCTGGAGTCCAGGAGATACTCAACTTTCAGAAGCTGTGTGGAACTGTTTTTGAAAACTGTTTCTGGCTTTTTGACCCGGAAATGGGAGTTTATCAGGTGTTACTGGAAACTCAAGCTTTCTCAAACCAGAGCACCAGAGTGTTAATAGCAAGGATAGTCGGTTGCCAGATGGCCAGTGGTGGCCACCTGGGCCCTAAGATACTGGCTGCCTAGCAGAGTGAACAGAGGTCACAGGCTCACTGAGGACCCTAGGATTGGGCTACTGGGAGTTGGGGTGACTGGCAGGTGACCCCTCTCTATGCTGGTGGGCTGGCTGAAGACATCCCTCCCACTGATTTCTTCTCTTGGGTTTAGAAGGGAAGGTATGTTGTTAGCAACAGAAATACATCGTTTTAGTAACAGTAGGCATCAATTATGTGCTTAATACGCATCAGGCACTGTGAGAGTTGACTTCATTAATGAGCTCATCTGCTTACTAATTACTTTTCCACAGCATGGGGATGTGCATAGGTTTCATGGAGAGGCAATCCCTTCTTCCTAACCTAATCCTGATTTGCATAATTCCTGTAATATCTCAGAGTTCTGGGGTCCACCAGAGTTGGGGCCACCATCTTCTCTGACCGTTATGAAGGGCTTGTTGAGCATAGGCAGAGAAACTTCAAAGGTTAGCAGGGCATGTGTCCTTTGAACTGGGAAAGGGAGCCTCATTTTTCTAGAAAAAGGATGATGACTGGTTACTGGTAAGTTTCTTTTTTTTCTTGCCCTAGTTGTGAACATACTATTTCTATCTTCACCCTAACCCTTTTCTCACAGACATCGTGAAAGAGTCCCTAGTCCCCAGATGTCCAGTCCGTATGACCCCCACTATTCCTTCCCTCTGAGAAGTTGTGCCCAGTAATTTGTTTTGAACTGTCCAAGCTGACTGCCCAAGCCCTAGTGCCACGGACAGGGACGGGAGCAGAAAAGAGGCAGAGCCACGTCGGGAAGTAGCCCCTCGTTCCAGGTCAGTTCCAGATGGGATGTCCCTGACGCCACCGCTGCCTGAGAGATGCTTCTCAAGCTGTCCCCTGGGATGTTGTGGTTTCCCCCGAAGCCCTCTTCACTCTCACCCGGAAGGACATTTCCACGTTCTCCCCTCCCCAGATCTCCATCTGATTATCATAGGTACCGATGTGCTCAAAGTAGGACTTGGAGATGGAGAAGAGGCCACCAGCAAACGTCGGGGATCTGGAGAGACAGAGGGAGAAGCGTGTGTGTCTTATGGGAGAGGAAGAGCAGTGCCTGGTAGAGAAAGCTGTTTGTGGACTCCCCTCCTCACCCACCTACTCCTCCTTTCCTCTTTCTCAGGACGTGCAGCCCCTCGTCCACTAACTCACTCATCATTTAGATTTTACTCTGTCCTCTTCCTCTTCGAGTACCAGGTCAAGGAAATATGTAATTATCCTCTAAAAGGTACTCATTCATTCATTCAACCAAGGATGCACGAAACCCTGGCCACTGCGTCCTGTGCTACATGGTGGACACACAGAATAGAGAAAGACCCCACTCCCCCAGAGCTCAGTCTAGTTGCCGAGGTTAAAGGTACCATTAGTTACTTTTTGGCAGCAAAGTACCTGGAGTCCAGGAGATACTCAACTTTCAGAAGCTCTGTGGAACTGTTTTTGAAAACAGGCAGGATTCAAACCATGAATGAATGAATATTATCAGCTGGGCTGACTTCATTCTGTTTCAGGGTCCTGGCCCTTCAGGGACTATAAAGCCACAGTTTTAGTAGGCGCCTCGCCACGGTGATTTATACTGCATGAGAAACTTTAGATTTGGGGAGAAGTTGCCAGTTACTCCTGGCAACGGTGGGAAGTCAGGTGAGATCAAGCTCCATTTGGGCTATAGGGAACATTTAGAAGATTATAAAAAGATTCTGACTTTCAGACACAGGCAGGGAAGTGTGGACTCAAGATAAATGGACAAAAACATCTAATTCCTAGAATTTCGATACCAGGTTGCTCCTAAGAGGGACTGGGCTAAGCGTTAGGTAAGTATAAGCGAGATGGAATGCCGGGGTGGGGCCGGGGAGACAGGGCCAGGAGCACAGTCATCAGCTGTTGGCGTCTGTGTCTGGGCCAGGCTGGCATGGCTAGGGCTTTGCTGCCCTCAGTGGGCGGCTTCATGTGGTACAACCACACAGAAAGGTACAGAAACCTCTGTAAACCCAGAACCTATCCAGGCACCTTACACACAGCTGGGGCTCCATCACTGTTCATTCGGCTGATCCACTGAGGTGACTGCCCAGGAGCCTGACCCTGGTGTTACCCTGTGGTTGCTCTTGTCTCCCGGAAGTTGGCTCCTGCAGTCGCTTTCTGGAAGGAATTTCAGCTGGGGAACCCTCGTGCTCAGGCTGGCTTCCTGTCACTGGTTCTGGCCTCTCCCAGCGGTCCTAAACCAGCCCAAATAGCACCTGAGAGGCTCAGGGAGTGCCGGAACTGCAGAGAAGCGCTTGGAAGCCAACCTGCTTCCTCCCCCCAGGCCCTGAGTCCTGTCTTTGAGAGGGTCTCCCAGACCTAGAAGCCACTGATGGATTAGCTGTGAGGACAAACCCTGCATGGGAAGCTTCACTGTAAATTCACAACCACAGGCAACCCTAGTAAACACCCTGTCTGTCCTGGCCTACCCCGAGGGTCCTCCGGGTCCTCTGCCGCTCCTCTTAGGCTCTGGTTGGCTTGAGATGGGAGGCCGGGAGGGGACCGTCAGCAGTCCTCCTGGGGGGACACTACGTGAAGAGCCTCGGCAAGCCATGTGCACTACTGGGACATGTGGGTCAGGGAGCAGATTCATTCCTCAAACACTGGAGCTTTGTCTTCCAGTCATTTGGGCTTGGACATCGAAGCCTGTGACGTCAGTGAGGGTGAGGGCCAGGTGCCCTCTTTCTGACTGTGCCGCTGTGTGCTTGGTCACTGGCTTGGTGGTGGGGGTGGGGATCTGCTGCTGTGCACACCAAACAAAAGGCATCTATGAAACAAGTGTGGAGTCAGTGGGAAGTTCCAATTTCTTTTTTCTCTTTTGCCTTTTCCTTTCCTTCTCTCCTTCTCATGGAGACAGAGCAGCTGGCTGTTCTGGATCCGGGGGATTTTTCCCTGTGGCACTCATCTGAGTTCCTTTCTACCAGGACTCTGAGCAGGTGTTTTTTTCTATTCTTTTTCTTTTTTAAGAGGTAGGGTCTTGCTATGCTGCCCAGGGCTCAAGGAATCCACTGAATCCACCTCAGCCTCTCATCCAGCTAGGATTACAGGTGTGGGCCACTGTGCTTGGCATGGGCAGCATTTTTTAAGATTCTGGGCACGTGGAGAGGAAGAAGCACTAATCCTTTCCACCTTTCAAACCTTCCCTCATCTCTGGCTACTGTATCTCCAACCTCTGCTTCCCTCCATCCCTGATATATATTCAGTTGACCCTTAAGCATCCTGGCCAGTCTAGGATAACATGGTGCAAATAATCCCAAACCACAGGCTATGCTAAAGGTCCCTCCTCAACTTGGTTTGTCTGAGACAACTGTTAATACACTTACAGGCCGGGCATGGTGGCTCACACCTGTAATCCCAGCACTTTGAGAGGTCGAGGTGGGTGGATCACCTGAGGTCAGGAGTTCAAGACCAGCCTGGCCAACATAGCAAAACCCTGTCTCTACTAAAAATACAAAGATTAGGCAGGTGTGGTGGTATGCACCTGTGGTCTCAGCTACTCAGGAGGCTGAGACAGGAGAATCGATTGAACCTGGGAGGCGGAGGTTGGAGTGAGCTGAGATCACGCCATTGCACTCCAGTCTGGGTGACAGAGTGAGACTCCATCTAAAAACAAAAACAAAAACAAAAAACCCTAAAACTTACAGTCTCCAATAATATCAACAGGCAGTGTGGGGTGGGGGGAGGACAGGGTGGGTGTAAAAGAGGAAGGTGAGTCCAGTGGGCATTAAACAGTGGGCTGACTTCCACTGTTTACCCTATAACCCAAGGGTTGGCATACCAGAGCCTGAGGGCAAAATCTGGTCTTGCTGCCTGTTTTTAGAAGCCTCTGGGGCAAAAGATTATTTTTATATTTTTTAATGTTTGTAAAAAAGTAAAAAATAAATAAAGAAAAATATGCAGCAAACAATATGTGGCTGGCAAAGTCCAAAATATTTATCATCTGGCCCTTCACCAAAGTTCAGGGCAACTGCTACAAACTTCACACTACAGAAAACCTGTCTATTTTCTTTCTTTTTTTCTTTTTTTTTTTTTTTTTTTTGAGACGGAGTTTCGCTCTTGTTACCCAGGCTGGAGTGCAATGGTGCGATCTCGGCTCACCGCAACCTCCGCCTCCCGGGTTCAGGCAATTCTCCTGCCTCAGCCTCCTTAGTAGCTGGGATTACAGGCGCCCACCAACACGCTCCGCAAATTTTTTGTATATTTAGTAGAGATGGGGTTTTAAAATGTTGGCTAGGCTGGTTTCAAACTCCTGACCTCAGGTGATCCACTTGGCCTCCCAAAGTGTTGGGATTACAGGCGTGAACCATCCCGCCCAGCCTCTATTTTCTTTCAGTATATTCTCAGTCTTTACAAAGACAGTGATCTGGGGGCACACACTGGCCCCTCTTATTACAGAGGCTATTCCATAATGGCCTCCATCACAGCTCCTGCCTCATTTGCAAGCATGGGCCATGTCCTTTTCTGTGTAGGGAGGAATAAACTAGATAAAGAATGTAAAGCCCAGTTCAGTGCCGGGCACACGGTAAGTGTGAATAAGAGCAAACTGTCATGGTGTGAGGCTGTGCAGTGCCACGGTCAGGGCCAGACAGGCCGGGAAGAGTGTCCTTGCTCACCGTTGCTAGCTGCATGATCTTAGGTCAGTGTTTATCACTATGAGCCTTAGAGTTCTCACCTGTAAACCAGGCTCATTACTGTACCTACTTCATAGGGAGTGAGGATGAAATACGGTATGTCAAGTGCTTGATAGAGCACCTAACAAATGTTGATACGAGATGGCGCAGGTTCCTGGAAAGGGGTAGGACTGGGCCAGGCTGGGGGCTCACCAGGCTTCGGTCCTTACTTGATGGGGTAGGTCTCATCCTTGCGCCTCTGCTTCTCATGTGGAGGAAGTGTTTCCCAGCCAAAGGTCAGGCTCCAGTCAAAGTTGCCTCGGCTATGGACTCTGCCCCTCTGGACGGGCTTGGCGAACTCGAAAGTATTAAGGTCGATGGTGACGATGTCTGGGCTCACCACCACCGTCTTGTCCTCAGCGATTCGAGCCAGGAGGGGCTCCAGCCAGCCGTGGAAGCACTCACCTGCAGGTCCCAACCAGGAGGCAGCAGTCAGTGTCCTACCTACAGCTGAGCCCAATCCACATCCTGGGGCGGAACACCTAGGAGGGTAAGAGACCTTCCACCTACTCCTGGGTTACAGGCAGAGAAGGACAGCAAGCCTCACAGCTGCAGGGAGCACACAGAGTTCCTAAAATCTTCCTACCATCCCGCTACCACCAAAGGCGGAGGCAGCTTTGGCAGGGAGACTGGAGGTCTTGGGAGTAGTGTGGTCCACTCAGATGACCCAAAAGCATAGGGAGGCCCTGGATCGTATCTTCAGGGTTCCAGCCTGCCCATTGGATCAGCCCTCCTGGCTCATGTGTGGATTTCAGAAGAGAGTGCTCCCTCTCCCAGAGACATCTGCATGTCAAGCTTCAGCCCCAATTGTAGAATAATTATCTCTTTTTTATCTAGCTCTTTGAGATTTTCAGCTTCTGCATATGTTACTACATTTGGCGCTGAGAGTAATAGTTCTGTTGGGTAAGGTTGGTGTCCTCATTCCTATTTTACCAATGAGGAAATTGAGGCTGTTAGTGGCAGGGTCAGAATGTAAACTGAGAATTCTCACTCCAAGTCTAGAGCTTTCCCTGATATATATCACCACTCTTAGGGAAAAGACTTCACCCTCCACAGCAGTGGGGCAGTGTTTTGGTTTTGGGCAAGAGGGAGGCCTTCCTGGCTCCATGTGGCCCTATGAGAACGCCCTAAACAAGCCAGTTCTCAGTCCTAACAGGAGGCCTCTCCAAGGGGCCGAGCTCAGAACAAGGTGTAGATGGGGAAGGATGAGTGTCTGGGGCCCCAGAGCACACTTCCAGTGATTTTGGGGTCACCGGTTGTTTTAGGGCTGTTTGTGCCTCTTGATGAAACATCCTTGGGATTGGGGTGAGAAAGGGGTAGATGAAGCTGGAGTGAGTCCCAAGCCTCCTTTGCTCCTGCTGTGGCCCCAGCTCATTCTGGCAGGGAGGGAGCCTCCAGGTTACACCCAGGCTGGCACCCTGGTACTCACAGTGGGCATCCAGGAACGTGAGCACCTCCGCCTGTGCCACGCTGGCTCCCAGCAGCCGGGCGGTGATCAGCCCCTTCCGCTCCTCCTGCCGCACCACCCTCACCACCTGCAGCTGCTTCACGTACTGCTCCAGCTTCTCCTTTAAGTGCTCTGGAAGGGACAGCGTCATTGTGGCCAGTCCATCACTTTGTTGGATACCCAATCCCCTGTGGGCACCAACCCAGGGGCTCTCAGGTCTCCGGCAGGCCTGAATTTTAGCCCTCCCACACTTGCTGCACTGAGCCATTCCACCGAAGCCGGGGCCGGGGAAGGAAGTGAACAGGGCAGATGGGGAGGGGAAGAACAGAGCCTGGCCTGTGGTCAGACCCGCCTCACCAGAGCACTGGCTCTGCAGTGCTGGGTCCCATGCCTGGGCACCTGGGCACCCTCTCTAATGTCAGGGACAGCGCCTTAGAGTTGTATTTCTGTGGTCACACATCAAGTACAAACTTTTTTTTTTCTTTTCTTTTTTTTGGAGACAGGGTCTTACTCTGTCGCCCAGGCTAGAGTGCAGTGGTGTGATCTCGGCTCACTGCAACCTCCACCTTCTGGGCTCAAGCAGTTTCTCCTGCCTCAGCCTCCCGAGTAGCTGGAATTACAGGCTCGCAAAGCCACGCACGGCTAACTTTTATATTTTTAGTTGAGACGGGATTTCACCATGTTGGCCAGGCTGGTCTTAAACTCCTGGCCTCAAGTGATCCACCTGCCTTGGCCTCCCGAAGTTCTGGGATTACAGGCATGAGCCACTGCACCTGGCCCAAGTACAAACTTCTGATAGAGGCTGCCTCCCTCAGTCTCTCCACCCTCAGCCACCATCTTCCACAGCTGCGATTTCGCAGCTCCACTGCACTGTTTTCCAGTGTCTAGGATTCCAGGCTCTTCACAGTAACCATACACAAATGGTGACTCACTCCTTGCTTGCTGGATCAGCAGCAGGATCTCTGACTCTAATTCCCTCTGTAATCTCCTCTGCAGATAGAATTCTTTAAGGTGAAAACATGCCCAGCAGCTTTTAAATTACATTAAGAAAACACTTGCACCCAGCGCCTACCATGGGCCAGGTACAGTGGCCAGCCCAGCCAGCTTGATTATCTGTCCTAAAGAACAAGCCACCCAAAAGCAAGGCTGACCAGGAAACGGGCAATTCCAGGGTGGGTGGGTCCCACACAAGGGCCAACTCTCCTGGATTTGAGGAGCCGGAAAGCTTTTTGAAGGGAAGATGTCTCTACTGAGACCTCCAGCTCCTTTCAAAGAGGGATTTACTTCATAGACCTGTAATTTAGTCTGAAAACCTCAGAGCATTAACAATAGCTCTATTCTGGCTGGGCGCAGTGGCTCACTCCTGTAATCCCAGCACTTTGGGAGGCTGAGGCAGGCGGATCACTTGAGCCCAGGAATTTGAGACCAGCCTGGCCAACATGGTGAGACCCTGACTCTATTAAAAATACAAAAGTTAGGCTGGGCATGGTGGCTCAAGCCTGTAATCCCAGCACTTTGGGAGGCTGAGGTAGGCAGATCACCTGAGGTTGGCAGTTTGAGACCAGCCTGACCAACATGGAGAAACCTATCTCCACTAAAAATACAAAAGTAGCCAGGTGTGGTGGCGCACACCTGTAAACCCAGCTACTTGGGAGGCTGAAGCAGGAGAACTGCTTGAACCCAGGAGGCAGAGGCTGCAGTGAGCTGAGATCGTGCCACTACACTCCAGCCTGAGTGACAAAGCAAGACTCATCTCAAAACAAAAAAAACAAAAAACAAACCAAAAATAGCTCTATCCTGAAACAGTCCATCTCGAAACAGACCGTATTCCAAACCTTACTGTTTTACTAACTGCCATCTTGGTTTATCTCTGCCATGGTTCTGTTCTCTGCAGAATGACGCTGCCTGCAGTTTCAGATGTGGGGGACAGATGTGACAATTGTGTGTCCTTTCTCTTTTGGACTGTGGGATCAGCCCAGAGCTTGGGCCTTGCTCTGAATGCAGCATTCTACAAACTGCAGGTCCTGAAATCAAGCAGCTTAGGGGTTGCATGCAATTGATCTCCCGCAAATGCATGCACACATGCACATGATAACCCAGCACTGAGCTGGAATGTGCGCCCGTGTGGGTGAGGCAGGTGTCTTCATGGTGACTTCCTCATTTAATCTTCCTTATTTAATCTTTTTTTCTTTTTTTGGAGACAGAGTCTTACTCCGTCACTCAGGCTGGAGTGCAGTGGCACAATCTCAACTCACTGCAACCTCTGCCTCCTGTATTCAAGTGATTGTCCTGCCTCAGCCTCCAGAGTAGCTGGGATTACAGGTGTCCGCCACGATGCCTGGCTAATTTGTTGCGGAGATAGGGTTTCGCCATGTTCGCCAGGCTGGTCTCAAACTCCTGACCTCAAGTGATCTGCCCACCTCAGCCTCCCAAAGTGCTGGGATTACAGGCGTGAGCCACTGTACCTGGCCAGCTTTTTCCTTCTTCAATCCTACTGGATAGACAGGGGATCCCAACAAGGTGTTCTTTTATTAGTGGATTCTTCAGGGGGTCATCTGAGGAGGGGGCTGTATCTCACTCTAGGAATGAGGAGGCCTCTTATCTCTGGAGGCCAGAACCTCAAGAATAAAAATTAGCCTCATACAGCCCAGCACTGACTCTGCAAATGTCTGCCAATACGCTGCCAGGTGCCAGATGCTGCTCCGGGTAGGGAGGGGCCTGGTCTGGGTCCTGTCCTCTGAGACTCCTAGGGCACCTGCAGCCCCCAGTGCCGGGCCTGACAGGAAGGAAGGAGGCAGCCCAGGCTCCTCAGCATGGCTGCTGATTCCCCAAGAGCTCGCCCCGCTCTGCTCACAGGAAGTTCACCGCAGTGGAGATAACCCAGGGACAAAACGCCATAGGAAGTGGGTTTTGTGGTGAGAGACAGTGAAGCACTGAGCTGTGAACCTCAGGGGGCCCGCGTGCACTACAAAGCCTTTCTCCCACGCCTTCCTTCCAGTCTGGCGCAGCCGGACCCAGGAATTCTCAGCCTGAGAGGCTCCCAGTCTCTGGCCTCAAGCCCTTCTGGGGAGACAAATCCCCTCAGAAATGCCTCTTGTGACAGTCCTCCACCTGTCCCACCCCAGGATCTACTGGGCAGACCCAGAACTGAGGACACCAGAGCTGAGCATGGCTGCATTGGTGAGCCCAGACACACTCTCATGTCCCCCCCCCCCCACCCCCGCTGACAGCCTTCCAACTTAAGTTCAATACCCCACTACCCCAACCCAGCTTCACTCCTCACAACTCAAGTCCACAGGACCCCAGGACCCCAACACAGACACCACACTCAGTCCTGTGATCTGAAATACCAACTACATGCAGATGGCTCCCGGGCCTTCCTTCCTGACCTTGCCATCTTCACTTGGATATGGAACAAAACAGAAAATTCAACATATGCCCAAAATGAGCTCTGGATTTCCCCCACAAATCCGCTCCCCCAGCCTCTCTCACATCAGTACACGGTGCCAGCATCCCTCCCGCTGCTCTAACCTGGGAGTCGTGCTAAATTCCCCCTCTTCTCCCCTTCTACAATCAGCACATCTGCAGGTACTGCCAGCTCGCTCTCTCCCTCCCCACGGTCACTGCAGCAATCATGTCTGCTGCTCTTCTGCTTTCTAGACCACCCTCCTCAATCTATTCTTGACACGGCAGCTACTATGAGAAGCAGAATTCTCTCTAAAAATCATAAATCAGCCCAGGCATGGTGGCTCACGCCTATAATCCCAGCACTTTGGGAGGCCGAGGCAGGCGGATCACAAGGTCAGGAGATCGAGACCATCCTGGCTACCACCGTGAAATCCCATCTCTACTAAAAATACGAAAAATTAGCCGGGTGTGGTGGTGGGCACCTGTAATCCCAGCTACTCGGAAGGCTGAGACAGGAGAATTGCTTGAACCTGGGAGGCGGAGGTTGTGGTGAGCCAAGATTGCACCACTGCACTCCAACCTGGTCAACAGAGCAAGACTCTTTCTCAAAAGAAAGAAAGAAAGAAAGAAAATAAATAAATAAATAAATAAAAATAGCTCATGCCTGTAATCCCAGCACTTTGGGAGGCCGAGGTGGGTGGATCATGAGGTCAGGAGTTCAAAACCAGACTGGCCCACACGGTGAAACCCCACAATTAGCCGGGCATGCTGGCTCGTGCCTGTAATCCCAGCTACTTAGGAGGCTGAGATAGGAGAATTGTTTGAAGCAGGACCTGGGAGGCGGAGATGGCAGTGAGCCGAGATCGCACCACTGCACTCCAGCCTGGGCTACAGAGCAAGACTCCATCTAAATAAATAAATGAATAGAAAAAGAAAATTAAAAGAAAAAAATAATCTGGAGCTGGGTAGTGGTGATGGCTGCACAGTAACATGAATGCATTTAAAATCAATAAACTGTGCACTTAAATGGTAAAGATGATACATTTTATGTCGTGTGTCTTTTACTACATACACATGTGAAAAATCCAAGCACTGCCCATGGCTTACAGTGGTCTCACAATTAAGTCCTGCTGAGCTTTTAAAAATTTTTTTATTTTGCTGGCATGGCGGCTCACGCCTGTAATCACAGTACTTCGGGAGGCCGAGGTGGGTGTATCACTTGAGGTCAGGAGTTTGAGACCGGCCTGGCCAACATGGTAAAGCCCCCTCTCTACTAGAAATACAAAAAATTAGCTGGGTGTGGTGGTGGGCACCTGTAATCCCAGCTACTTGGGAGGCTGAGGCAGGATAATCCCTTGAATCAGGAGGCAGAGGCTGCGGTGAGCCAAGATCGCGCCACTGCACTTTAACATGGGTGACAAGAGTGAAACTCCGTCTCATAAATAAATAAATAAATTTTTATTTGTTTAATTAATTAATTAATTTATTGAGACAGCATGGAGAATTTGTGTTTCGTCTGCCGCAGCCTCCCAAAGTGCTAGGATTACAGGCCCGGGCCACCCTGCCTGGCCTGCTGGCCTCCTTACATCCACTCCACCAGCACTCTCGCTCACTGTGTTTAAGCCACACTGCCTTTTTCTGCCTCATTAACCAGTCAAGCGTCAGGCCTCTGTGTCGGCTGCTCCCTTTGTGGAGAGCACTAAGAATAGCCTTTCCTGGCTACT